AGTTCCTGTTGATGTACTGTTAGAAGTGCATGTTCTGCATTTCTCAAGCTGAGAGAGCTGAAGAACAAATTTAAGCCTCGAGTTACGACACTGAAGAATTCAATGGACAAAATAGCAAATGATGTAGAAAATAACACAGGAAAGATGAAAAGAATACACAAAGTCACTGTACAAAAAAGACTTAATGGACACAGAACCATTTTGGGAAGCAGTAAATGATCAACAGTACTGAAGGGAAAAGTCCATGCTGCACTGAAGGCATTGGCAAAAACTAAGGCCCAGGAATGAATGGAATACCAATCGAGATGTTTCAGAAAACAGATACCGCCTTAGATGTATGTGTTCACTACTATCTGCCAACAAATATGAAGCTAGTGTGTTCCCTTTCCCAAGAAGAATGATGCAACAGAATGTGGAAATTATTGAGCAATATTATAATGCACTCCTGGAGCTGATAAAAATTTCCTTTACTGCCCTATCGGTTCCCTTCCACTGTGGGGCTCACTTTTCCTTGTGCTCAGCCTGACACCTATGCTTCTTTGCTGGTATTCCTGTTTTGTTGACGCCCTAAATATGTCCATAACCTTGCTTATTGGGTAAGCTATCCCATGGCAAATGGAGCAACTGTTCATAAGGTTTCCTGTGAGTCAGAACTGATGAATTGACACTTAACAACCACAATAGATGGGATAATTATTCCACTGTTTGGGGAAAAGAGTGTTGTGTTTACAATTGTTGGGTACAAGAGAGCTCTGGTGGCCTAGTGGCAAGAAGCTGCACTGCAATCCTAGAGGGACACAGTTTGAATCCACCAGATGCTCTGCTGGAGAAGGAGGGGCACGCTCCTTCTGTACCAGTCAGATCTGATTTGATGGTACACACAAAAGATAAAATAAAGGAAAAAAAATGGTTGTGTATGAGCTTATGAGAGTAAAGACAGTGCTTTATATAATGCCACGGTTAAAGGTCATTTTAGTTACATCATTACAGTGCCCATTGTCCCCATTTAAAACAAATAAGGTAGATACAGATGCACTTTTCCTTGGAAGGAACTGGAGGGTGTTCTGGTCTTTGGACATGTGGATTAGTATTTCAAATAAAGGGGACCTGCCTGACAGTCATCACTATTGGAATGAGGCAGAGACATTTCAAACTCAACATTTTGAAAACCTGAAACCATTACTTCATTTATATACCCAATGTCTGTTTGAGCGCTGCTGAGTGCCAGCATAGGGGCTGTGCTGGTCTAGTCTGCAGGAGTTGGGATGCTAAGTCAAATGGCCCGTGCCATTTGAATCCATTGGCCACGTGAAGGGAGAATAAGGAACAGTGTATTCCTGTGTGATTTACACTTGCTGGAGGGTCAGTTATGAGTAGGTCTGACTCAGTAGAAACGAATTATTCCTTTTTTCCCTTTAAAGTGGCAGCATATGCTTGGTTGTGGAGAGTCACCTATTAGCAGTACAGACATTGACCCTGCTCTCAGAAAGCTTACACAACAATTAGAGAGACTATAACGCTATCTCCAAGGAACTTTAGTGGCATAGTGTTTAAAGTATTGAGCTGCTAACCCTAACACACCCACCGCTCTTCAGGAAGAAGGCCTGGTAATCTGTTCCTTCTGATGGCTTAGTGGTAAGGAGTTGCACTGCCAACCCAAATGCCAGGGATTTGGATCCACCAGCTGCTCTGCAGGAGAGAGATGGGCAGTCTCCTCCCTTGTGACTTACTGTCCCTGAAAATCCACTCAAGGGTCAACTATGAGTTGCTTCTGGCTCAATGGCACACAACAACAAAGGTTCCAGCTTAGGAAACCCTATGAGGCAGTTCTGTTCTGTCACACTGGCTTGCTAGAAGTTAAAGAAAATCAAACTCATTGGCACCAAATAGAATAACATAAAATTACAAGCATGAGTCATAACTACACAGTGCTAGCTCTGGGGGTCCCCAGGTGGCACAAATGGTCAAGTGCTGGATAACTCCCAAAAAAGCTTGCAGTACAAACCTAATCTAGAGGTTCCCCTGTTGGTAAACTTTGTAAAAGTCACAGACTTCAAAATCCTATAAGTGCAGTTTACCGCTGATGCACACGGAATTGCCCGGAGTTAGAATCAACTAGTCACAATCGTTACGGTGCTGTCATAGTGAATAAATATGAATTATAAAGCATCCTGAGGATAAAACTTTTTTCCCCAGAAGAAAGCATTCCAGAATGAAGGTTGCATAGTAGAGTGTACTGGGGTGGGAGGGGGGTGCTGGGGAAGGGTGGGGGGTCGGGGGGGAAATACCAATGAAATAATTTTTTCTTTTACTTTTCAAAGAGAAGTACGAATTGGGAGGAGGGGTGGGCAGGGAGAAAAATGCAACAATGAATGTATGGAAAGCCAAAAGCTCTGTAAATGTTCATTAAAATGAATTAAAAAAAAATAAAGAACTACATAGTTTGCCATTTAGAGAAAATTAAAATGGTAATATCTGGTTTTTGAGTAACTTTTTGTTAAATTAAGAATATTTATGAAAATGCTGACTTTTATATTAAATACTAACTTGTGTGTTTGTTATTGGTATCATTAAGCTTGGAAGTCCCTGAGTAAACTGTTAAGAACACCTAGCAAAACGCTGGAGACACCAGCCCACCAAAGGCACCTCAGAAGGCAGACCTGACCATATGTCTGAAAAGTCACAGTTTTGAAAACTGTAAGGAGTTTCTTGAATGCACGAGGTCTTCATGATGGGAAGCTATGTGATGGTATCTAACAAAGATTAACTCTCCCGGTCATTGTACAAAAGATGTTGTGAATCTTGTGTGAAAAACAATGTATCCGAACTTTGTAAAAAAATAAGTATAAAATAAAAAAAAAAAACCAAAACAAAAACCAGAGAGGGGAAAAAGGTGTTGTGAGCTTTCTAGTAGATTCTAACTCACAGCTAGGGACGCCACAGGAAAAAAAAATAAACAAACAAAAACCCCAATACATTTACATTGATGTATTTTACTCCAGTAGAATTCCAAAACACTTAAAACCCTGTCTCCTCATGGGGCACAGTATGGGAACTCCTTGACCTGTAGTGCAGCTGCTTCTGGCCTAGAATGCAGCTGCCAGTTAACAGCTGTAAGGTACTCAAGACCTGAAAGAGATCATAGTCCTCAATTAAATATACATCCCTATTTTCGAATAATGCTTTTTGTGTCTTGCAAATGTATCGTCACTTCAGTCTGCTTTTCAGGGCTTGCTCAACTTGGTTTTGGCAATTTTCTCCTCAAAAACTCTTTTCTCATATACCTACTGTCTAACCAGAGTGCACAAGTTGGTCTTACTAAAGAGCCAGAGGGAGGGAGAATTAGAGGACAAATTTTGTTTGGTACTTGTTGTTATGTGCTGTCGAGTCGCTTGAGATTCATAGCACTCTATGTACAACAGCTCTGAACTCTGCTCTATCCTTTGTCAACCTTATTGTCTCTGAGACACCTACCAAATTACCTGAGTCACCGAATCATCCATCTCATTGAGGGTCTTCCCCTCTTGTGTTGTACTTCCACCCTCCCAAGCATGATGTCCTTCTGCAAGGGCTGGTCCCTCCTTGCAACATGCCCAAAGTATGTCAGACCAAGCCTCAGAATCCTTGACTCCAAGGAGCAACCTTGTTTCACCCTCTCTATGATGAACCTGTTTGTTCTCCTATCAGTCCATGATTTAGTCAGTACTCTTCTTCACCACCACAGCTCAATTCTCCTTCTATCATCCCTAGCTACTGTCAGCTTTGTGAGGCATAGCAAGTAACTGAGAAGACTATGGCCTAAATCAGGCGCACCTTAGTTTCCAGACTGACATCATTGCTCTTCAGTATTCCGGAGAGGTCCCTGACAGCAGACTTTCCCAGTGCAATTCTTCTTTTGATTTCCTGGCTGCTGGTGCCAAGAGAGTTGATTGTGGGGCCAAGCAGGCTGGAGCTGTTAACAATCTCAATCTCTTTACCGTCTATCATGATGCTATCCAGTCAGCCCAGTGATGAGAATCTTTTTTATGTTCTTGATATTGAGCTGCAGTCCTTATTTAAGCCTGCAGTCTTTGACCTCCTGCAGCAAGCATTTAAGGTCCTTTGCTGTTTCAGCAAGCAAAGTAGTGTCACCTGCATTAACGCAGACTGTTGATGAGTCTTCTTCCTCCAATCCTGATGCCACAATCCTTCTTATAGAGCCCAGTCTTTGGTAGTGTTAATAATTTATTTTGGGGAGGAAGGGTCACTAACAACCCTCCTAAACAATCTTTCATAAAGCTTGTTCAGTGCTAACTTCAGGTTCTTTTCCCCTTGGGCGGCCCAAGGTGCAGCCAACGGTGCACCAATAGAGGTGGCCCTAGCTCGTCGCCCTCCTTCCACTTTTTTGCCACCCCCGGCCGCATCTTCCAGACGCATATGCCCACCTCCCAAAATAAAAGCCGGGACCCGAACTCGTTCCGAAGGCGATGGACTTGCAAGCAGCAATAGATTCGCCGCGAGAGGAGCCGCGACTTGCACCCGGTAGCCCCGCGGCCACTTTAGATTGTTGCGTGCCTCCAACTTCACAGAGCGCGGCGCTCCGGGGGTGCGGGCGGGAACCCCGCCCGGGAAGGAGCTGTGGCGGGGCACGGCGCAGTCGCTGCTCGCTGTCTCCAGCCCGGCCGCCCGCTGGGTTTTTTTGGGGTCTCTCCCCTCCCCCGCGGCCTGCGGCGGGGGAGGGGCTGCCGCCGCCGCGTTCTCCTGGCACCGGAGGTCGGCGTCCAGGCAGCCGGTCGCGGAAGCGCGGCCGCAGCTGAGGATCAGCTGCTGGAGGAAGCGGAGGAGAGGGAGGAGCCTGGAAAGGGAGTGAGGAGGGAGGGGACCGTGTGGAAGCAGCAGCCAACGCCGCCGAGCGTCTGCACACCTCGCTCCGTCTGCCACGGCTGGTTAAAGCACCATCCGGATCGCAGCGCGGGGGGAGGGCAGGGTGGGGGAAGCGCGGCGGCCGCGCGCGAGGCCGAGGGAGGGGCGGCGGCGCGAGCGGCGGCGGCGGCGGCAGCGGTTCCAGCATGAAGAGGAGAGCTGGCCTGGGGGGCAGCATGAGGTCAGTGGTGGGCTTCTTGTCCCAGCGGGGCTTGCATGGGGACCCCCTGCTCACTCAGGACTTTCAGAGGAGACGCCTGCGGGGCTGCAGAAACCTCTACAAGAAGGACCTTCTCGGCCACTTCGGCTGTGTCAATGCCATTGAATTCTCCAACAATGGAGGCCAGTGGCTGGTCTCAGGTAAATCAAACCCCTTCCCCTCCCCGCGCCTCCCGGCCCCCTTTCCAGCCTCCCCCTTTTCGCTCTCCCTCCCAGGCTCCCTCCTGCCCTCCGTCCCCACCCCCGCCCTCCTCAACCTCCCTTCTGCTGGGGGGAAGGTTTGGTGTCAAATTCGAGCCATCGCTGGGGGAGGGAGGGAGGGCGGGGAGGGAGGCGAGGATGTCTTCCATAAAAAAGACCTAAAATGGTTGACAGGTCCCTAATCCGCTTTATCCCAAGTGCAAAGTGATCGCCCGGATCACTGCCCTGAAAGTGTGGGTCAGGGCGGGGGGCGAGGTTACTGCTTGACAAAGTTTGATGGCAAACTCTTCCTCCGTGTACTTTAAAAGGTGCGGGGGGACTATTTTTGGGATTTGGAGCGGGAGGCGGCCGAGGCGCGCCCGAGGCACGGGGAGCTCCAGTCCCTGTCGTCGGTGTCATAGGAAAAGGGGCCTAGGGGTCGGGGCCCGTGTGGTGACAGGGCCCGAGGGACCGGGCAGGGGCTGCGACGCGGGGGTTGGTGAGAGCCGAGGGGAGGTGACGGGCCAGCGGCTCGGCGTTGACCACCCCCCCTTGGGGCCCAAGTCCATCTCCTTTTCAAGCGTTGGGGTGGTGGCTTCCGAGTCTTGTTTTTATTATGGTTTCGAGAGTGGTGGGGGGCTCTGAAGGCCAAAGGAGCACCGGCCTGAACTTGAATGCGCAACTTGGGAGGGAGGAAGGGAGGGGGGTGGGGGGCGACCCCCGGGCGACTTGTTGGCAGGAGCCCGGCGTCTGCTGCGCCCCCTTCTCCCGGCAGCTGCCGTTGCAGGTGGGCTCCGTGCCTCCTCCCTTCCCCCCGCCGCCCCTTGTCGAATCTCGCTGCCCTCACGCTCCCTTTCCAGTTTGGGCTAACTGGCGAAATCGAGGCCGGGGCTCTGGCCGGGCAGTGTAGGCCTCGTTCTCTCGGGGCTCCTAGCGACAGGCAGCTGAATCGATAGCCTATTGCTCCCGGGAAGGCCGGAGCCGGGTGGGCATCGGCGACAGCCACCCCGGGGGAGGTGCGCCTGTTGCCCCGAGGCAGGGTTCTGGAAAGACGCCGCCTCAGCCCTCTCCTTCCCTGGCTGGAGCCTCAGGGGCTTGGGAGGGCCGAGGGTCCGCGGGGGGTGGGGTGGGGAGGGGAGGCAGCTTCCTGAAACCAGGAAGGGAAGGAGGGCGGAAGACTGGGCGCTCTGGCGTTCCCGCTCGCCTTCTGCAGGTCTCCGTCCCTTTTCCTCCGTAGAGAAGGCTGTCGGGGCAGTCCGGCGCTGGACGTGGCGCTTTAGTTTGCCTAGCTGGGGTAGGTGCTTAAATGGTTTTCTAATTTGCGTCGGTGGGCAGCTTGCCAGAAACTTCTGGGATCAGAGCGGAGCATCTGTCTTCTTCGCAAGTAACAGTCGGAAGTGACACGGGTCTTCAGTCCTGTTGAGGGTAGCAGTGATAAGGCTTGTTTGATCATTTCACGATAAAGCTTCTGGGATTTTTCCAGACTCCAGTGATAGAACGGTCTTGACTTTTCCACCGCAGATCGTTTTCTCTTTGCCTAGATAGATTTTGGCCTTAGATCATCCCCCTAAAGAAACTTGATACCCCTCCTTACCGATGTATAAAATTTTTACTTCAGAAGATTCCAAGAGCACAGATGGGGAAGATCGTCTTGTAGTTATTTATTTTTTTTCTACAGAAATAGTTATTCCATTAGAGATGTGCCCATACACAAACTTTACCTACAGGGCAGGGGGATTTGAGGATACTCATTCATATGCGGCTGAACTAATGTTAATTAAGTCACAAGAACTGACACATTGCCCAGTTTGGCACACTCAAAAATAACAGCTTTGTTGATGTTTAAATCACATACTATACAAATCACTGATCTAGAGGTAACACTTGAAAGCATTAAAGAGCTCCAGTCTCTCCCAGTTACGACCCTTATCCTTGTGTAGGATCATTTCCTAGACCTCTATGAGGCACATTTGTTCCGCATTTTCATCTGTTGGCTTAGTTTACCACAGTTTCAGCCTATGGAAGAAAAGGGCTCCTTTTACCTGGTTGTTTTACCATCATTCCCTTTCCTAGGCAGAGCTACCCTTCTTCATCAATACTTCCTGGGTTCCCACCATTTTGCCCTTTGCTCCTCCTCCTTCCCCTCCCCTGTAGCTCAATTCTTCCTGTTTCCTTTTTATCTGCTGCCTTTGTTCTTAAAGTTTTTCTAGATAACTTTCCCCCCAGTTTGGCTCAGATAGACATAGCTTTTATTTGCTTTGTTAAAAGGTCTTTTAAGCTATTAGCCTTTTGTTATGAGTACAGTGTATTAAGGGAAAGTGCCTCTTGATTGCTTCAACTAAGGAAATCCTTTTTGGGAATCTTAATACAACTTGTTGCTATGTTTAGAGAAGCCTCTCAACAATCTTCCCAAGTTTAATGCTATTTAAATCTTCAGTTTGTGTTTTCTCTTACTCATTATTGTTCCATATTAGTAATAAACAACTTATTTTGAGGTGAATGCTTTTTCTCCTCATGTTTCACAATGATGTACGAAATGGAACACCAGGCTCTATATATAGTGGTACTGCAATTAATTTGATGCCACACTGTTTAAAATTGTGGTTTGAGTGAAAGTTTGCAAAGCATTGGTTTTCTACCCAACCACTGGTAATACATTTTGTTTTACGTCATTACACTATCCTCTTCCCACTTCCTCCTAGTTCTCATTTCCATTACTCTTCTTATCCTGTTTCTGAGCTTTATTCTTGGGCAGATGCTGCTCTTTTGACCTTCTATGGTTGTTTATTTTAAGGAGTTGTTGCCTCCTACATGTTGTTTTAGTAGAAAATAAAATTAAGGGAAGAACTCACCTCAGCATTTCTCAAGCTGGGAGAATTGAAGAACGAATTTAAGCTTTGAATTGCAACATTGAGGACACTGGGTAAAATCTTGAATGATATAGAGAACATCCAGAGAAGATGGAAAGAATATACAGTCACTGTACCAAAAAAATTAGTCAATACTGAACCATTGCAGGATGTGATCAAGAACCAATAGTAATGAAGAAGTTCAAACTGTACTGAAGGTACTGAAAATAAGGCCACAGGAATTGATGGAATACCAGTTGACATATTTTAATAAACAGAGTAACCCTGGGTATACTTACCAGTCTATGCCAATAAATTTGGAAGATAGCTGCCTGGCCAACTGACTGGAAAAGATCTATATTTATTCCCATTTCCAAAAAAAGTGCTCCATTGGAATGTGAGAATTCTCAAACAATATCATTAATATCACATGCTAGTAAAATCTTGCTGAAGATGATGTAAAAAATGCCTGGGACAGAACTTTGACAGAACTGTTAGAAGTTAAAACTGGATATAGAAGAGGCTGTGGCATTAGGGATATCGTTGGTGTCAGATGAATCTTGGCTGAAAGCAGAGCATACAGGAAGAATGTCTATTTGTGTTTTATTTGTGTTGTGTGGAACACAACAATATGGTTTAAGTTGGGAAGAATGGGAACATGTGAAACCTGTACCAAGAACAAAAAGTTGTTGTCTGAACAATAGCAAGGGCATAATGTGTGGCTTAAAATTAAGAAAGGTATGAGTAAGGGCAATATCCTTTCTACATACCTGTTCTGTCTGTATGCTGAGCAAATAATTAAGGAAGCTAGATTTTATGGAGAAGAATGTGGCATCAGGATAAGGGAAGATTCATCAACAACCTCTGTATATCTGACACAACCTTGCTTGATGAAAGCAAACAGGTCTTAAAACACTTGCTGCACAAGATCAAAGACTATAGCCTTCAGTATGGATTATAAGTAAACATCAAGACAAATTCTTCACTGCTAGGCCAGTAAATAACACTGTGATAGAGAAAAAGTTAAAGTTGTCAATTATTTCATCTTACTTGTATTTACAATGAACACTCTTAGTACCATTAGTCGGAAAATCACAATCTGCTGTCAAGGACCTCTCCAAAGTTCTAAAGGACCAAGATTTAAGTTTAAAGACTAAGGTGCATCTGCTCCAGACCATGGTCTTTTCAGTTACTTACATCTAAAAGTTGGTCAGTGACTAAGGATGACAGAAGAATCAATGCTTTTGAGTTGTGGTGTTGGAGAAGAGTGCTGAATATCCCCTTGAGTGCCAAAAGAACAAACAAGCGTGTCCTGGAGAAAAAATGCAACTAGAGTATTCCTTGGGGGCCAGGATGGTGAAACTCCATACTTCTGGCATGTTGCTAGGAGATGTCAGTCCTTGGAAAAGACATCATACTTGGAGAGTCAGTGAAGGACAGGCTGACCTTCAATGAGATGGATTGACACAGTGACTGCATCAATGGAGTCATGTATATCAGAGATGATGAGGATGGCACAGATAAGGCAAGGTTCAGATCTCTTATTTATAGGTTCACTATGGGTATTATCAACTTGAAGGCTTCTAACAGCAGCAACAACAGATATTGTTGGTCACCACGTAGGTCTGTCTGTTGATTGATTGAAAGTTGAGCCAAGGGGTGATTTTTGTTCCAGGTTGACGAAGGGCCATAGTTGCAGGAGTTCCATGAGCTTCTGTAGTATCAGTGTGTCCTTTTTATGCTTGTGACTTTTCCACATTTTCTCCCATTGTATCCAGGGTCTTAGAAAGTGGTTAGTGGTAGTAACTGGTCACCATCCATTTAGTTCTTTGGGTTTTAAGGTCATGGAAGTTGAGATTCACATGATCCATTAGTCCTTTGGACTGTTTCTTTACCTCTTTGTCAGGAGTAGACTAATACTTGCACCTTAAATGGCTAAAGTTTATAAGTTTTTAAGATCTTGGTTACTATTAACCAACTTGTTTTGCAGAATTTTGTCTTTGTGGACTATGTATGTTATGCCAGTGACTCTGATGTCCCCCAACAACTCAGGACCAGCCCTTAGGCTGCTTGGTTATGATTAAAAGTTAACACAGCTTTGTCACTTGTTGG